GCTCGGTGTCTTTTCTTTTAGGAACGAAATAAACTCATGAAACATGCTGACGAAAGCCGATTTGCTGTTTTCATGTTTACTGTTTTTATCTGGAGATGTGAAGATATATATTGGCCTGAATTTTTTAATTGCCCCTTTTAAGAAAAGACACTTGTTCAATATCATCACAGTGTTTTTTTGCCATATACTTGACACGCTTGAAAACTCTAAATCGTGTGAAAGACTGTCTTGTGGCTCTTATAAATTGAAGTATTCATCAAAAACATAAAATGTTAATATGCTGAGTCCACTAAATTAAGAAAACAATAGACAATAAAAACCTTTTTATTCAGTTTATTTTCGAGACAAAAGCACCCGTTTGTGCATTTTAGTTTCCGCACGACTCGGAATTCGAATTTCTCTGAAAATACATCACTTAGATCTTCAAAATCAGAGTAACAGTCTGTTAATTGACACTTTGATTGTTTTTGGTTTTGTTTTATTTTTCCTTATTGCTTGTTTTCTTCACATGAAATGGCTGTTCTAGTACGAAAAGTCAATCGAAATCGCCCTCTACCTGGGAGACTGATATGCCTATTCGACCTGTATCAAACTTGAAATTTTTGGTGAGTGTGCAGTGCGTTAACTCGCTTAATTTTTTGTTCAGCCTCTTTTTCAATGAAATATTCTAAACGGATCCCAAGTCGACCAATGGAAAGCTTTTCTATTGGGACAACCGTTGAAGGTTCCATTTAAACGATCAGGATAACAACAGTGTCGGAAGAATTCGGTCATTTGTAATTTCTTGGATGTTTTTCCCTACAGGGTTCCAATTCTTGCGCTCGTTCTTTTCCCTCTTCTTCTGTTCACATCACTACACAGCAAGTTTTACTTAAATGAGATTATAGCGGGCTATTTCTCCGTAAACAAATTCATACTGGTACAATTCAGTTTAAAAATTAAAAAGATTGCAAACGTGATTGCAAAATATTTCCTGAATAGACTGATGCATGATGTTAGGTGAGAGTGTTGACATCCCGGCTGTTTTCTTACCGCGTTATGGGGAAATTTGTATTATTCCTTAATTTTTTGCCTTATGACCGCAATAATTTTAGTCCAAAGTAAGATGATGTAAAAAGCTCACATTCGATACCAAAATGAGTGGTACCTCTACGAAAGGGCTTTAATTTGCTGCCGTCAAGCTGCAAAGAGTTCCTGGTCGATAGGAATCTGGGGAGAGTAAACTTTCAGTGCTCTACTCTTTAAGTCTCGCTCTCTCTCCACTCCGGTAGTTTGTGCTGTGACTCTCTAAGGGCAATTAGTCAGAAAGAACGTGTAATGATTTAACAAAAGAAACACGCCACGTTAAAAAATTTTCATGAAAGCAAGTTCACTAACGTAAATTTTAAAAGTTTTCTTGTTGAATCATAACAGAATTTTTCCAGAAATATTACCATCTTAATTTAGCAAAAAAAAAAAAAACGAATTTCTTCTTATCGAAGAGCCTTCACTTCAACCTTATACTTACAGCTCTTTCCAGCGGTCGAGAACAACGGCTCAGATATAAATGGGTCTTTATAAATAAGAGTAAGAAAAATAATAAATACTTTGGGGGCGGGGTGGGAGAAGATCTTACTTCAACATTTAACCCTGTTTATTTTAAGATGTAACTGAAAAATTGACTGATCTAGATGAACAGTTCTGATTAATAAGCAAATTCTTCAGAGCACAATGAAACGATAATATCGTCCTGTGGACGTGGTCCTCGCTCTGCTTTGCGTCCATTACCTATTGTCATTTGGCTTATGAAAACAACTGCCTCACGTGAGGCCACGTGACAAATAGCCGTTTGCTATGGCTAGTGCGTCAAGACATGTGTTGTCAACGTGGTTAGCACTGTTTTTCCTCATAGGGGCATCCCACGATGGCAGCCGTTGTCGATCCGGTCACCTGCCCTGGTTCTTCTCGCGGGCTCTTTTTCTTTCCAGAAAGCGTTGCCTAGCAGCCGTGAGAGATTCTTGTGTGTTCCGTTTCGATATTTTAACGGCGTCTGTAACAGTGCCTGAACCAACAAAAACGAGGTGAAATTATAAAATGAACAAATTGCAGTACGATTAAACGTGTCAGAGTCCTCAAAAAAAAGAAACATACCTGTTTCGGTTTCGTTTTGGTCTTGTAAGTTCCCGTCATGCTTGCTGATCGTTACTTTTCCCTCTGCCCAGCCAGACAAGGAATAACTGTCTACTTCATGTAACCTGGGCAGGAGTTCTCCCACCCACTCATACCTTATCTAAAGACGAACGTGATTTTGTAAGTGGCTGGTCATCAGGAATCTTGTAAGCTACACATTTCAGTTTTAAAAGTAAACTCTTCATACAATAAAGAAGAAAGACAAGGAAAAAAATTAACACTCACTGGGCAAACTGTTCTGACATAGATTTTTGAAGTCCAGATGATGTCATGAAAAATTATCCACTCGAGCTGATCTTCGCAACCAAATAGCTAAAAAAATATATAAATGATCAGTAGACATTCTTCTATGAGATAAATGCAGTAGTGAAGATAAATGAGAGTGAATGCTCCATATGACCTCATGCGCTTTTTAAGCTCACTTTTCTTTTTACGATCGTGTAGCGCGACCATCCGTGTAACAATAATCCTAAAGAATGATTTATAAAACCGCTCACTGCGTCCCTTCCTAGCATGCAGACATGTTGTCAAAATTTAATCATCATCAGATTGAGTTACAATTGCAAATTGAAACTTCAATTGAACTTCTTCATCTCTGCAAACCACTATTGTTAATCGGAACATAAAAAGCTAACTCTACCGTTGAAGATGGGTGAATATAAACTTGTGTACCATGTCCGTCCATAGTGCGGAAACTATTTCCCGAACTGCTTCTAAAAAGGATAAGACACAAAAAGATGCCATAACAGTACGAATAATAAATAAAGTTGTAAGGCGCTTCAAGGAACGAATGAAAGTTTAAACTCTTCAGGCGCAGTAAAAACGCGCAATTGACGATTGTTTTAGCGTCTTTTCTGATTGGTTAGGGAAAGTGGTGGGACTTTTCCTGATCAATTATAAAGTGTAGTAAAGCAAAACTAATGGAATCATGAATTACTTTTGACATTTGATTAGGAATTGTTTTATCGAAGGAAGACTGCTCGATCGAAATGTAAAGGACACTTCAAATAAAAAAAGGATGGCTTACTTCCGCGCTACATTGCAGAAATATCCACTGCACAATACTCTCCTCAGCAGATCTTTCGAGTTAATTTTTGTACTGTCTGTATTCCTCTTTGGAACAGAGTCTTTACTAAGCTGAAAAGACAAAAATAAAGGAGCCCGTATTCAGCTTTTAGCTGGCAATGAACCGGGAGAGTATTCGACAAAAGCTTATTGACTATCTGATAAAATGTCTCATGTATCAATTTCACTCTTGGAAGCACTCAAAGTGTAGAATATGATAAATCAGTGTTGGTTCTTCACCTGTCTTTGCAAGATGGTTTCCAGCTGATGGTGTATGTTGTACGCCATTTTCAGTGCTCTCCAGTGAATGTAATGTTCACGACACCATCGTGGAGGTGACGGACTAAAAAAAACAGGAGAGAACAAAACTAAACTACAAAGATCTAACACTATTGGCTAATAATAGTACATAGAAAAACAAACTTAGCACAGGAATACTAACCTAGAATGACACTGCCTGTAGACAAACAGGAGTGTTGCAAAGTCGTTTGTTCCACCGGCTTCCTCCGCCAGTTTTTTATGAACCTGTGTAGCTGTTGATAAATTCTTTTTCCCTCCTGGAGTTACAAAGACATTCTCCACAGACAGCATGGCTGCCACTGCAAGTACTAGTTCTGTACAACCAAGGCTAGCTGAGGATATTACTGTCCTGGAGAGGCCTGGGGAGAGTGGAAATTCCGTCATCTGACGACCTAGTGTGGTGACATTTCCACCTCTGAGAACAAAATTGAAATTTACGTTTTTCAATATGAGAAAGAATTACACAACATATGAAAGTTTAAAGCCTTTTCCTTGTCTTTCACTGGAGTTCATAACAATGTCTTGTTTTCAGACTCACCAAATGAGTCCACTCATAGAAGGAA